CCATTTTTAAAGTTCTTATTAAGTTCACAAAAGAGAAATTTGTCAATTATATCTTCCATGAATCCAGTAGATGCTGAATTGGAAGCATCTATAAGGAAGCTCTCACAGTTTCCAAAGATCAAATAACTGAACTCAAAAAAGAAACTCAATGATTACACAAAATTATAGCCAATATCTAATTTGAAAATGTGATTTTGAAGGCTGAGGCAACTGTTCTTAAAAACAGAATGGAAACTTTAAATGCTAAATGGAATGTTTGGATACTGCAAAGGGTGACTAAAAGTTTTCTCACATTATAAAAATGATTGAAAAGATGAAAGCAATGGCAAAATTATTTCCATGAAAAAAATCAATAAATTTAACCAGTGCGTAATTACTCTCCTCAAAAATAACATCACTCCTTTGATAAAATATAACTTTAAAAAAATATATGTTGGTAATAATGTGGTTTAGTTTTATATCAAATTTCTAATGTGTATATTTTATCAGTAGGATAAACTACTTTCTTAATAATAATAATAAAAAATCATTTGCTTTATAATTGCAAAAGCGCCCAACTATTTCTAAACTTCTGAAGCTAAAGAACAATTATAAAAAAGGCCACTATCAAACTAATTATTGAAATTTTCTTGATAAATGATTAAAAAGTGAAATTAAAATATTTGCTTCATTAAACAAAATGTCAAATTATTTTTTGAAGGGATAATTAAAAAATATATTTTTGTATCCCAGTAAGTATTAAAATATTTTATTACATATAATATTATTAATTTCTCTCTAAATGAATGATTTTTTCTCATTATTATTATTGAAATTAAAGCTCAAATTCAAAAATTACTATTTCATAAAAAAAAAGGATTATGAAATAATGAAATAATCTGATATCTGACAACTGATGGATGTAGGTTTATGTAGGAAAGTGTTTATGCTATGCTTTAGTTTTCATATATATTCTAAAGAATCTAAGGAAAATACTAAAATTTCAAAAGATTACAAGATATGGAAAGAGATTATTAAGCGAAAAACATAAATCTGGGAGTAAATATATTATTTCTTCAGATGCAAAAATCCGAATAACTAGACTTTATTGAATATAGTCAAGTAAGTGTTTATTGGATATTTGGTTTAATCATTGAAAAAATATTTATTTATTCGAAACAAAAAATTGAAATAGAATAATAATAATAATATTGTAATATTTTTATTTCAAAATGTGAGAATATAAGAAATCAAGATCAAGATGGAATAATAATAACTTATTATTATCATAATAATCTTTTATTCTTTATTTTCTTTCCTTTTTTTTTTTGTTTTTTGGAAAAGAATGCTTTTTCCTACTCAAGGAAATGACGTCGAAACGTTTGTTAATCGTGTTCAAATATATTTGGTTCGGCTATTAAAATTAATTAAATAAATTAAAATAAGTCGGATTAGTCGATTAAAAACTAAAAATCTTAAATTTTATTGAAATGCACTCATTATTTTTAATATATAAAAAATTTATGATATTTTATTTAATAAAAAATTTTTATTACACCTAAGTTACTTGAATTCATGCAAATTTCATACTCTACACTTAAGCGCTAAGATTTTATAAATAGTGCTTTATAATTTTTTTAAAAAAAAATTATAAATTAGACGGTTCCAAATGATCATCATCATCATCAACTAAATTAAAATGATACTTTCTAGAATTGATTTGATAAAAAGATTTGTTAATTCCTCAAGTTTTTTTTTCAAATTTTTCATCATTTTTAGGTTTTGGAAGATTTGAAAAATTGAGAAGTCTACTGCTATAAATTGCTTGTGGATGTTTGTTGGTGTTGTAGTTGTAGTATCAGTTGTTATCTTATTTTTGGAAGATTCTTCGGCTTTCTAATTTGAATTACAATAATTTTTTTTACAGCACTTGGATACGGATAATTATCATTATAATTTTTTTTTTGTTTTCTTTGTTATATCTTTATTTATTTTTTATCATTATTTGATCATATTACTATTATTATTTTTTATTATTTTATTAGTATTATTTTATTAATATTATTTTTTATTATTGATTTTTTTAGAAATGAAAGAATAATTAAATGAGAAATTAAAATGAAAATGAATTAAATGTTAAACTTTGGTTCATAAAAATTCCGATAGGTAGATAAAGTAGTGTTGTCCAACATGCATGTAAGGAATTTTTTCTCCGGATTTTTACTTAATCGGGGCTGTAAATATTTTCCGATTACATTACATTCCTCCTCTAAAATTACAAAATTTTAAAAATAATTATTCTAAAAAATGACATTTCAATTTTTAGAAGAAGACTTTACAGAACTTCTTAATGATAAAAAAAAATACAATGTTGTTATTGAAGTTGATCAAGAACCAAATAAAAAAACTTTCACTGCGCACTCGTCCGTCTTACGTTATCGTTCATCTTATTTTAATAAAGAATTAATAATTACTTTTCCCAATGATTATATTAAATTTATTACTATACCGGATATTTCTTCTCAAATATTTGAAATTATTCTCAAGTAAGGCTTTTATAATTTGTTTTTATATTTATTACGTATGCTATGTTATGAAATTAAAAATAATTGGAAATTTTTATTTAGATATATCTATTCCGGAATTATTGATACCGAAAATATGGATGCCAAAACTTTGTTTGAATTGGCGATTGCTACTGATAAGTTGGAGTTTGAGGAATTATCCAAGAAATTAGAAAATCAACTTATTGAATCCAAAGCTTCTTGGTTAAAAATTAATTTCACCTTTGTTTATCATTCAATTTTTAAACATAACAAATTTCAAAATTTAGAAAAATTTTGTAATGATATTATTGCAAAATATCCAAGTATTATTTTTAAATCTGCGGAATATATTTCTCTTTCCGCTTTAGTGTCCATTTTAAAACGTGATGACCTACAGGTAAACGAATCAGAAATTTGGGATTATGTAATTGAGTGGGGAATTGCACAGAATTCCACTTTACCCGAGAAATTGGAAGAATGGTCTGACGAAAATTTTATTACTTTAAAAACAACTCTACAACAATGTTTACCGTTTATTCGTTATTTTCACATTTCAAGTTCAGATGTTATGGATAAAGTCAAGCCATATAAGAAAATTCTTGATAATCAATTATGGGATGATTTGGAGCAACATTTTATACTTCCAGATAAATCAGTAAAATCTATTATCCTTCCACCAAGATTAGTTTTAACTCAAGAATTACCAGCAAGAGTAAATGCATCATTTTCAAATATAATTGATAAAGAACACGCAGCAAAGATTTCATCATGGATTGATAATCGACCAACAAGTTATTCTTCAATAAATAATCCTTATGAATTTCAATTACTTCTTCAAGGAAGTAAAGATGGATTTGCTCCAATAACGTTTTGGGAAATTTGTCATGGGCATGCTAATACAATTGTGGTCACTAAAGTTGACCGAAACAATGAAATTATTGGTGGATTTAATCCTTTAGCTTGGGATAAAACAATAGATGGTTCTATTCAAACAAATGAAAGTTTTATATTTTCATTTAAAGATGGTAATATTCAAAATTTAATTCTTAGTAGAGTTAAAAATGAATATGGGGCTTTATGTTATTCTAAACGTAAAGATAAGGTTGGTCCATGTTTTGGAAATGATGAATTCATAATGAAATCATTTGTATCTGACTTTACTCAAGATAGATTGAGTTGTTGTAATTGTCAAGATTATTATGAAAAATCTATTAGAACAACTGATGATAAATTTTCTATTATAGATTATGAAGTATTTAAAGTTGTTAAAAAATCCATCTAAAATATTATTTTATTTACTTGACTTAATTTATTTAATAAATCATTACGTATTGTAAATTAATTTATATAATAGAGAATTGTTCATAAATAAATTCAATTATTAAATGTTTGTCTAAATTTTTGGTACCTGATGTTGTTGATTACATCAAATATAAAGTAATTATCTAATTATATTAATAATTATAAGTTCTATTGTTAAATAATACTGTAGTTTTTTTTCAAATCGAATTGCGATTATTTTATGAAATGAAAAAATATTGTATATGGAATGTTTATTAGACTTCCAATTTATTTATTCAGATCAACTTTATAAATACAGTAAGTTAAAAACTACAATTGACATGATTTGTACTAGAGATTTTTTAGTTCTAAAAATAAAAGTAAAAAATGCTTTGGTTTAATAATTGTTGATTATGTTATTATTATTTTATTTCAGTATTTAATGTTTTCGGTCTCATTGGTCTTATGATATGAACCTAAATATCAATTAATTAAATTAATTATAATAGCAATTTAATTATGTATAGATGTTCTAGATTTTAATTAACTTTTCAAAAAATATCAAAACATTAGATATTAGAAATTGATTAAAATTAAAAATTTTAATATTTAATATTATTATTAAATTAAATTAATTATTATTCGTGCACACTTGGCAACGCAAAAGTGTTCTCGCACTTTAACAACGCGAAGTTTACACAGTATATACACGAAACAATGAAATGTCATAAACTCACGTATGATCATCATAAAGTTATTAAAATTTTACCCGTGTAAGTATTAAAATAAATAAAAAGTGGAGGCAGCGTTGTAAAAAGTGCACTGACAAAATTTATTCTACGGATGTAACGATTGGATACATAAGCACAATTCAATATAATTTTCAGCTTACTAATATAAAATAGTTGAATAAGTAAATTGGCATTTGATCTTTAAATTTTAATTTATGAAAAATTAATGTAAAGTTGAAGTGATAGCATGAAAAAAATTACAGTAGCGATTGGTGTTATGTTATCCAACAACAGAAATTTATAATTATTAATAATTTAGATAATTACATCATATTTTATATAATTAACATCATCAGATATCAGATATAAAATATCAATCCATCGACAAATATATTATCATTATTATTTTTTTTTGAAATATTATTATCGAATATATTAATTTTATCATTTAAACTTTTTTGTGATGGATGAAAAGGACGAGCTCCCGAATACGATACTTATCATACCTACGTGTACTGCCCTTACAATTATTACCAGTCATCGTTACACAACTCCGGTACTGAAAGTGCTCCACCATCATTAGCTTTATTTAGATGATGCAACGGCTGCTGCTTCGGGTCATCGACAACAATTTCATGCTGTTTCTGCTCATTACCACGTGCTGCTGTTAACGCTACTACGATTGGGACAATTAATAATGGAGGTTATTATGCATATAGATACCAATATTACTCTCTTATGGTTATAGTCAAGCTGTTTTTACTTCTTCTAGTGCTTCTAATGCTGCCGCTACTGACACTTACATCCGTTAATCTGATTTTAAATCCAGCCAATACTTTTAATACTCTTCTAATAATCCTCCTGCTCCTGGGTCTAGATTTTATTCTAGACGCCCCACGTAAATAAATTTTTTTAAAGTATCTAACACGTGATAAATACATCGTTCCGTCACTCATCTTCCAAAATAACAATGTCTCAAACCGATAATTACCAAAACCAATAAAAGAAGTAACAAGAAATTAATAAGAATTATCAAGTGGGAAGAAGAACCAACAGATTATATGAAATTAAATTAGACTATTTTTTTTTTGTTATCATCATTTCTTTATTCTTCTATTCTTTCTTTTTTATCATAAAAAAAGTTTATTTTCTTTATTATTATGATTCAAGTCCAAACCAATAATTTTTGTTGTTTCGTTGAATTGTATATTTTTTTTTTATTATTTATTTAATTATTTATTTTCTATATTATTATTTTTTATTACTTGATCATTATTATTATTATTATTTCAGAAAATGAATGTAAAATGTTATAATATTTTAAATGCTGCTATGTATTTCCGAATTCTTTTTTTCTCATTTGTCAATATTAAAATATTTACAAATTTACGAAATCGCAATAATTTTATTTTCGTTCGCATATTTTTTCAATATATCAATCTCAAACATGTCAAATTAAAAATTTAAAACTTTTCGAAAGAATGAGTTGCCTTGGGTGTTCCAATTTATGAACTACGTTCGTTCACAAAAATTCGATAGATAAAATAATGTTGTTCAACATGTAAGTAATTTTTCTCCGGGTTTTTCTTAATGAGGCTGTTGACGTATATTATATAGATTTAAATATTTTCCGATTATTCACTTTCTTTTGTACCTCAACCTTTACCCATCTAAAATTACAAAAAATTATTCTAATAGAATAACAATTAAATTTTTAGAAAAGTTATCTCAAGACTTTACAGAACTTCTTAATGATAAAGAAGAATACAATGTTATTATTGAAGTTGATCAAGAACAAAATAAAAAAGCCTTTACTGTTCACTCGGCCGTCTTACGTTATCATTCATCTTATTTTAATAAAGAATTAACAAACGCTGTTCCCAATGATAATAATATTAAAACCATTACTAAACCAAATATTTCCGTTAAAAAATTTTGAAATTATCCTCAAGTAAGGCTTTTATAATTTGTTTTTAATTTAATTATTATGCTTTAATAATATACTACGCTATGAAATATTAATTGAATTTGAATAAATTTATATAGATATATCTACGGCGGAATTATTGATATCAAAAATATGGATACCGAAACTACGTTTGAATCGCAAATGAGTTCGAGCTTGAGGAATTATTTATGAAATTAAAAAATTTATCTTATTGAATCTAAAGCTTCTTGGTTAAGAACTCATTTTTCCTTAGTTTATAATTCAATTTTTAAACATAAATTTAAAAATCTAGAAAATTTCAGTAAATGATATTATTGTAAAACATCCAAGTATTATTTTGAATCTGCAGAATTCATTTCTCTTCCTGAATCTGCTTTGTATCAATCTTAAATCGAGATGACCTACATATGAAAGAATCGGAAATTTGGGATTATTTAATTAAGTGGGGAACCGCACAAAATCCTACTTTACCTGAGAAATTGGAAGAATGGCTTGACGAAAATTTTACGACTTTAAAAATCGTTATTTTCACATTTCAAGTTCAGATGTTATGGATAAAATTAAGAAAATTCTTGATAAACAATTATGGAATGATTTATTATCCTTCCACCAAGATTGGTTTTAACTCAAGAGTTACCAAAAAGAACAAATGAACCGTTTTTCAATCATAATTGATGACGAACACGCAGCAAAGATTTCATAAAATTATACTTCAAGAAATAATCCATATGAATTTCAATTAATAAGTGAAAATGGATTTTCGCTAAGAACTTTTTGAGACATTTGCGATGGGCATGATAATACAATTGTGGTCACTAAAGTTGAAGGAACCAATGAAATTATTGGTGGATTTAATCTTTTAGCTTGGGATAAAACAAAAGGATGATGATATACAGAATTCAATTCTTAGCAGAGTTTAAAATGAAGAGTATGATTTAAATTATTCTGTATATAAAAATCAATTTGGTCCATATTTTGGATATGATGAATTCGTGATGTGTTCAGAGACATTCAATTTTACTCAAGATAAGCTAAATCGATGTTGGAATACTACTTATAATCGTCATGAAAAACCCATTAGAACAACTAATGATCAATTTTCTATAATAGATTACGAAGTATTTAAAGTTGTTAAGAAATCCATCTAAAATATTGTTTTTTTTTTTACTTTGTTTAATTCGCAATTTTTATAATCAGAGATATATAAACCATTATACTTATGTATTTTATATAATAAAGAATTACTAGAATAAATAGTGGCTCATAAATATATTCAATATTAAATGATTTATCATATTGTAAAATTTATTTTATTTTTTAAAATAGATATCTGGACACCAACTGTAATTTCCACATTTCAACATCAGACAAATGCACTTCATTATTGGATATTTTAATTGTTGCAGGATTAGTATTCTCTGTAATGTCCCATTTCGAGACATCATTTCTTTTTCAAAACTACACCACAGTTGCGGTTTAAGCAGATAAATAACAATGGTTCTTCTGAAGATCTTAAGGAACAAATAATAAATACAAAATCAATGGAAAGAATATTACATAAATGTATAAACAATTATTTAATTCAGATAATAATTTAAGTCAGTGATTTCATTCTGAAAAGTTGCAGATACGAACAAAAACATGTCATTTAATGGTATTATCCTTTATTCTTTAGAATAAGTTGGTTCCGTCAAATAGGAACTAACTATTACATTTCATTAATAATAAATTTATATATAATAATGATAACGAACTCAAGAAGTGTACGAATGAAATAACTCTAAAACTTTCAAATCTAGAAATGATAACTGAAGCCAATGAGTTTGAATTAATGCTTTTGTTCACCAATGAATAAAAATTGTGTTTCCGACGAGAAAACATCATATCAACGTGCATTCCTAAGAGCAAATATCGTAACGTTAAAAATTTGCTATCTCCATATTAAATAATAATAATAATAATAATAATAATAATAAAAGATCATACATTATCTCAAGAATTAATATTTGATATTTAAACGGCATTCTCCCAAAGTACGAGCACAACTTAGATATCTATTCTTGAGGGGTCAACCTGCAATTACGTTCTTTAAATATTCATTAGCTTTCTTGCCAAAAATATTATATTGATAATATGAATATTTATTTTTAAAAGAGAGAACCATGCTGAATAATTTACATTATAAGTATTTAAAAGTCTCTCAGTTTCATATAAAAATGTATATGTATATTCGTGTGTGGATATGGATGTATATATTTATATTGTACATAAAAAAAAGATTCTAAATTATTCACTCACTTTTCTGTTAAATCAGTTATATATCAGGTATTTAATATTAATATCATTATCTTTCAAGATATCAAATATTTCATGATATCAGATAATGAAACAATTCCTTTTAGATTATTTTCAGCATCTACTACAATTAATCGATGGACTTGAGCTTTTCTAATTAAATCGAACATGGAGTGAAGGCAATCGTTCAATGTGCAGGTGTGAACTCCAGGAAAATCCTATTAATAATTTAAAATAAATAATTTTAGAAAAAGGAGAATTAAATAAATTTAAATAAATTAAATTAATCAAAAAATTTAATCAAATGGAATTAAGTGAAATATAATAATTAATTAATTAGTACTTCTGATCTCTTTAATATTGCTTCACCCACTGGAAGATCCATGCCTTGATATGCACCCGCTCTAACTAATGTCTTTTAAATTAAATAAAAAAATAAAAATAAATAAATTTATAAATAAAATAAATAATAATATGAATTTATATCTGATATGGAAATATGCACGATATTAATATACGTCTTATACGTTACTTACCATTACATCAACTGTTTCATATACATTTAACACCGTTCCTAATATATATCAAAATAATTTAATAAATATAAAAGAATATAATTGAATATAATTGAAAATTTAGATTATATTTCATAATTAAATCAAATCAAATCAAATCAAATCAAATTCAAAATAATTTAAATTAAATTAAATTAAATACTTTGATTTTTTTAAATTAATTTACCATTTTCATCAATGATAGGAACCGAAGAAATTTTTCTTTCCACAAAAAGATTAACAATTTCTATTACAGGAGTGGACATTCTAGCCGTGGCAATATTATCATAAACTCCAATTTTTATTTCTGATAATGGTTTTCGTAAATCTTTGGTTTCTTTACACTAAAAAAAAATCAATAAAATAAAAATAAATAAGTTATTAATTATTAAAATAAATAAATAAAATAAATAATTAAAAATAAAGTAAATAAACTAAATAAATTATTAATAATTAAAAATAATAAAAATAATAAATAATTAATAATAATTATTATATAATTTACATTCATTGCAATAAATTTCAAGATTCTATATTGAGTTAATACTGATACAATCATTTCTTGTCCCGTTTCCGAATCAACATCAACTAAAGGTAATCGATGAGCTCTCGCTTCCACTAACAATTTACATGCTTCATGTAACGATTTTAAAGGATGTATTGACATTAATTGTGGGGGTGGTGAACCTAATCTACTTTCTACATCTGTAATTAATTAAAAATAATTAATTTAAATTAAAATAAAATTAAATGAATAAATATATAATTGTCACTATATAAATACGCCACATAAATAATATTTACCCCTTAATTGTTGAATTTGAAATTGTTCGATTTCTTCTAATGCATCGGAATATGAAGAATGTTTATAGTAATATTGTATTAAATTAATAAAATCAGAAACTGTCAGCATTCCTGCAAATTTTTGATTGGTTGAATCCCAAAGTGATGCTGAAACAACCCCTAAATTATTTAAAATATTTAAAGTATTGTGAAAAGATTGAAAATATTAAATATTATATATCTCTCTATATCTCTTATATAATTATAAAATTGAAAATATTAAATATTATATATATATATATATCTATATCTCTTATATAATTATAAAATTATAATAAAATAATAATAATAATTAAAAAAAAATATATATTATTTTTTATTACCATTTTGAATTAATGCCGCTAAAGCTTTCTTTACTAGTAAACTAGTATCTAATACTATGATTCTATAACTTACGGGTAAAACGTCATATGAAGAATGTTGTTTTAAGAAAGCACAAACACGACTACGTGGCGTATTTTGTTGTTCTCCACTTTTTATTCTATTATCTCCACTATCCCAATTTTTTCCACTATCTTTTTGTATTATTTCACTATCTTCTTGTTCTTGTTGTTGCTGTTCTGATTGTTGTTCTTTTTCTTGTCTACTTTCTCTTTGTATTTCTAAAACTCCTTTTTCTTCTTCTAGATTTTGGGTTTCACTTTCTAAAATAGAAAAACTTTGATATCGTGAAGAAGGGTGATTAAGGTATACAAAACTATCCGTCATTTTTTTTTATGTTCCAGTATTTATTTATTATTTTTTATTTATATTATTAACAATTGTGAAAATCGAACCTCATGATTGGTCGTTGACGTTTGTTTAACTCTAACGGTTCTGTGCACTTCGTTATAATCACCTCAATATAGTCAAAACTCGTAGTAATCACCATCTGTTGTATAATATATTTATGTATATCTCAATAAAATTTAAAATAAAACATTTCCATAATATTTGGCGGGAAAAAAATTCGCATAAAAGGGTCCGTGTCTGTATTCTACTTCTTCACAAATATCTCCACGTTTTGACCGAAAGCACTTATTACATTTTTAAGTGAATTGTCATCTGAATAATAATAATAATATATATATTTTAATTCATAATTATCAATTTTGAAAAAAAACAGAAATAATAAATTTAATAAATTTGTTTATCATTCAGATGGAAAATTACTTTACGTTTGCAAAGAACAATCTATTTTTATTAGGTAAAAAATTATTTTTTGTCACGATAATCTTATATCGTTAAATATTATATTAATATAAAATAAATTGTTTATTTGTATACATAACTGATAATAATTTTTTAATCCAAACGTCACAACTAATTATGCTAATTATAGTAGTAGAAAATATTAAAAAAAAAAAAATTCTTAAAAAAAGGTTAAAAAAAAGTATTAGTTAATTAAGGGAGGGAAAGAAAAGTAGAGAAAGTATACTGTAATAATAATAATTATATTAACATTAATTGATATTTATAATAAATGTCTGATACTAGTTTCTCGATATGAATTTTCATATATCGCTTATACTTTAATATAATAGATAAATTTTTTTATAATAATTATGTAATTAAAATAATCAATATCATAAATAATGATTATATCTCTAATTATAAAAATAATATATATATATTTATTTTTTAATAACTTTAAATACTTCATAATCTATAATAGAAAAGTTATCATCAGTTGATCTAATAGATTTTTCATATTTGTTTTTATTGGAACCAGAACCATGACACCGATTTTGCTTATCTTGAGTAAAATTAGCTATTTCTGATTTTAACATGAATTCACTATATCCAAATACTGGTCCATACATATCAAATTCCGAAGGATACCATAAAGCCTCATGTTCATTTTTAATTCTGCTAAGAATTGAATTATGGATATAACCATGATTAAATATAAATATAAAACTTTTATTGGTTTGCATATAACCATTTTTTGCCTTATCCCAAGCCAAAGGATTAAATCCTCCGATAATTTCGTTAATTCCTTCAACTTTGGTGATCACAATTGTATTATCATGCCCATCGCAAATGTCCCAAAAAGTTCTTGGCGAAAACCCATCTTTACTTCCTCGAAGAATTAATTGAAATTCATATGGATTATTTCTTGAAGTATAATCTATTCGACGTTTATCAATCCATGATGAAATCTTTGCTGCGTGTTCTTCATCAATTATGATTGAAAACGGTTCATTTATTCTTTTTGGTAACTCTTGAGTTAAAACTAATCTTGGTGGAAGGATAATAGATTTTACTTGTCGTTCTGGATGCAAAAGGTATTGCTTCAAATCATCCCATAATTGTTTATCAAGAATTTTCTTATATGGCTTGACTTTATCCATAACATCTGAACTTGAAATGTGAAAATAACGAATAAGCGGTAAACATTGTTGTAAGGTTGTTTTTAAAGTCAAAAAATTTTCATCCGACCATTTTTCCAATTTCTTGGATAAAATAGGATTCAGCGCAGTTCCCCACTTAATTACATAATCCCAAATTTCTGATTCTTTCATCTGTAGGTCATCACGTTCTAAAATTGACACTAAAGCAGATTCAGGAAGAGAAGCGAATTTGAATTCTGAAGATTTAAAAATAACACATGGATGTTTTACAATAATATCATTATAAAATTTTTCTAAATTTGGAAATCTATTATGCTTAAAAATTGCTTGATAAACAATGGAAAAATGAGTTCTTAACCAAGAATCACATGATTCAATAAAATGTTTTTCTAGTTCCAAGGATAAATCCTCAAACTCCAACTTATTAGCAGCAATCATCAATTCAAACAAAGTTTTGGTATCCATTTTTTCGGTATCAATGATTCCGCTATAGATATATCTATATATATTAAATTATTAATATCGTCAATCATTTTAATTTAATATTTCAGACCATTGTTTTTCACGTGAATAATAATAAATAAAATTATATAAAAGCCTTACTTTAGAATAATTTCAAATATTTGAGCAGAAATATTTTGTTTAGTATTAATTTGAATATTGTAAATATTGTTTTCATCGGGAACAGCATTTGTTAATTCTTCTTTAAAATAAGATGAACGACAGCGTAAGACGGTCGAGTGCGCAGTGAAAATTTGTTCTTGATCAACTTTAATAATAACATTGTATTCTTCTTTATCATCACGAAGTACTGTAAAGTTTTGAGACAACTTTTCTAAAAGTTTTAATCTCATTTTATTATAATTTTTGTAATTTAGAAGAGCAGGGATTATGTTAAATGTAATTGAAGTTTTTAGAAATATTTAAATGCTACTATATACACAAAAGCTCCTATTTAAACAAAGTTCGGAAAAAAAATTCCACATGTTGGACAACACTATCAAATTTCTTGTGAGCATGACTATTGGACTGTTTTTTCTCGAATATTTTTTTTCTTAAATAATAAATAATTATATCATCCCGGAGTTTTATGATGCATGAATCTAATATAGATATATAAGATCAACTGAAAAAAAGAATCGAAGATTGTAATATTGTAAATATCGTTACAAACAGCTGTAGCAGCTGCGGCATGATGATTAAATAAGTATCGATGAAAGGAGAAAACTGTGACTATGTATTAAATGTAGGTCACAAGTAATATTCTTTCATTCTATTTATCTATATTTGAATACACACTGGAGAAGCTTTCCGATTTAAACTGGCGATTATAAACATTTTTACACATGATTCATATGTCAAAATTATGGGTAACAGGGCAACAATAAATTTTGTTCCCACGTATAATATGGTTTTAGAAATAAGTCATTGTCATTAACATTTGATTAATGTTGGACATTTGATAGCCCGAATTAAATTAGTGCCACCGAAGCAAATTGCACGTGATAATAAGTGTCACAATGAATTATTCGAACAATGACCAACCAAGTAAAAATACATATGCTGAAACTGTAAAAACATTTGTGGAATATTGGACTAATAAATGTAAGTGAAATACAGCAGAGAATTAATATTCCAAGGTCTACAATTTATTATAATATAACATTTCAAAACTTAAAAAAAAAGGGGTTGTAGCTCATAAAAATGCAGTGAATGACCAAAAAAAATTGCCCCGGAAAATTCTAAATTCTAGAGCAATTGCTCAGTACGTAAGAAGATATCTTGGTTAAAAAAGATGTAAAGTATACTTAACAATTTTGAGACATTTGAAAACACTTAGGTATAACAAAAAAATGTCAATACTACAATAGAAACTCCACACAAAAACACCTTAATGATAATTGGGAAAAAACATTATTTTTAGATGAGACAGCCTTTCAACTATTTAGGAATACAATAAAACAGTTCGCTGCATGCCAAAAGATAGATCAAAATTTTTTGCTTATGCATAAGGAAAAACTAGCCTTTTTTATTTTAGGGATCATGGATAGTCCATTTAATGTCAATATTTACAAGGATGTTGAATAATGATCAACATGGCAATGATCCGAAGCATACAATTCGTGTAGCCAAAGAATTTCTAAAGAAAATTTCCCTGAAGTAATTGATTAGTCATCCAATAGTCACAACCTTAATCCTCTTGAAAATCTGTGTAGTATTGTTAAAGGGAACGTGGAGAAGTGACAACCAAAAAATTTGACAGAATTAAAGCAATTTATGATAGAAGAATGGAATAATATGCAAATACTTTTATTAATTTAGTAGGCTCCATAATAAAAAAAAATGAGAACGTATTCCATATTAATTTTTTATTAAATAAATCTATTGCTCAAATAATCAAAAGATTTTGTAACACTGTAGCTTCCTTTATAAAAAAAAAAAAAATTCTTATTGGGTTACGTCGCTATTCGGTCAATTTATTATAAATTAAATTATTTCGCTAAACTTCGGTGGTCATCACTTGTATTCAATTTTCGTAAATCTCAGCACATTTGTTTGCATACGTTTACAGTACATCGCACTTTAAATAGTACTTAATTAATTATATAAATAGCACATTGATAATAGAATAAATCGAATAAATATATACAAATAAATATAAATTTTCTTCATTGTAATGATGTTTCTTGATATTTAATTAATTATTTATTAATCATTATTTAATATTCTTATTATTATTAATTAATAAAAAAGAATATAGAGGATTAGCGAGAGATCGATATAGAGGATGAAATTCTTGCCTCTAGAAATAAGGTGTGTTTAAATGATTTTTTTTTTTAAATGAATAAGTAGTTATATTAATAATTGAATGATTAATTCGTGATCAATTTAACAATCGGACAAATTCAACCATGAATTATAATAGAAAATGGCAAATTTTCTATTTTTTTTTTGCCATTATAGAATCCAATTACCTTCATACTAAAGTATGATTTTTAAAATAAATAATAAAAATTAATGTGATTAGAAAAATGTGTTATTTGGCTACTTTTAGGATCAAGATAAATTTCTCTTTAATTTACAAATAATTTTATATAAGAAGAAAAAAATTAATTTGTTAAATTTACTAAGTTTTTCCGGATTCCGTTTTGCTAATAAATATTATATTATACATATTCCAATTTTATCAATGAAATTATTTGTTTTTAAAATAAATATTTTATTTTTTAGTTGATTGTCGTGGAGCTTTATTTATTTTGATAATAATAAAATAAATAAATAAATAAAAAGGTAAATAAATTTGTATATTTGTGACCTTAACAAATTCTGGAAATCTAATTTTGTTTTTAATGTTAATATTTTTCTTCATATTAC